GCTGTTTGTCATGAAGCAAATAAAATGAGCTCCTGCACTCAGAATAAGGCCCACTGATTTGAGTTACCACAGAAAGTTTGCATGATAGAAGGTAGAAAACCCTAAAGTATAGCTATCCGAGATATAAGCCTAGCCAAAATTTTATTCAACTTTAGGTGCAAATAGTGCTTAGTAAAGTGCTTCTTTAATTGTGTTTAGCATGCACATACCTGTATGGATGAAACTATTGTATTCAGCTTCCCATAAAGCTTCTAAACAACTCGCTACATAATAAAATATAAGGAAATGGAGTTGTAATATGCACAATTTTACTTGTTTGTGCATATTACTTTAAATAGTATCGGAAATGGATCCATTAACCCACATAATCCAACCCATCCTACATTGTCTATTATGACCTACCAGCCCAAGTTTCCAAGCTAGGCAAACACAATTTCTGTGTCCAATGCTAGACAAACACAATTTATTAAAACATTTTTCTTAAATGTACCTGTCACGTTTTTCTGTCCAGCCCTTCCTCCTTGTTAAACGCCACTCCCCAGGCAAGGGCAGGTGAAATATTTAGTTTACTATGTAGGCTTGAAAGAGCAAATGTTCAATATATCCCACTTGAAATCCTGCATCTAGCACCAGCCGCTGAAATATCCTGCATGTGCAACCAGGGGAGTTGCTAGTCAAGTTTAACTGCTCGATCTTACCTTGCCTGGAATATGAGTTCAGAACAAAGAAAATACCTACAGCTTTGACTGCTTGTCACTCTTCTGAAATGCTGCGGAGTCTTATGGTTCTGTTATGTGGTAAGTTTCTTCTAAATTATCCGTTTCTTGACTTTCTGCTTTTTTAATGAATGAAAAAAAAGTTAACTTCAGTAGGTTGATGAAGAAATAAAGGGTAAATCTAAAAAAACCTAAACTAGATGTGTTGCTATCACAGAAAACTACAGTCAGTCTGAGCTTCTAGTCTTAGATTCTGTGTATATCTTTAGGACACTTTTAGGTGTGTTGCTTTAAGACAGCCCAATCATATTGAATACCTTGACAACCCACCAGAACGTAGATTTTAAGCTCCCTAGCGGTATTCCCGAGTGTAGCTCGGGGTAAAATGTCAGTACCAAAAGCGGTAACCCCGAGCTACATTCGGGCTTACCATGCGGCGCTGCATAGAGATTCCCTGCAGCACTTACCTTGTCCTGCGCTCCCACAATGTGTCCCCTGCAGCGTCCCCGGCCATCTCCTCCTGCCGATGCCGGCATCCAGCTTCTGTGTTCCAGTCCCTGTGATGTCGGGACGTACGGGCGGCGGCGGTAAATTTTAAAAAATTTAAATTTTTTTTTTTCCAAACAAATTTTACATAGTAAAACATTGCTGTTTCAACCCATTTCACATACATTTTGTAGTGCTTTGTCTTGTGCCCTGCCTGCATTTTGTTTGTTCTTTCTGCCTGAAAACTGAGAAAAGTCCATGGCGCCCAAAAAGTGTTCCTTTAGGTCAAAAGCAGTTTTAGACCAGCTAGAGAACAGCGACAGTAAATCAGAACCACTTGCAGAATTGAGTGATAATGATTTGTGGGGAAATTCGCCATCAGACACTGAAAACTATTCTGCAACTGAGCTCAGCGATGTGTGAACTTGGCGCTCTATTTCAAATTTCAGTGTTTTTGGTTTGAATACATTATTGAATTAAATGTATTATTATTATATTATTATTATTTTTTGATTATTTATTAAATTATAATTTATGATTTCATGTTTCAAATTTTATCATACCCGGGATGTTTAATAGACTCTTGTTCGGACAGATTTCAGTGAGTTATTCCTAAAAATTACAGGCCTACAATAAAAAAAAAACTACTACATATTTCCATGCAAAATAATGGTACCGCTTTCAGCACCAAAAATCTGAAATAATCATACCGCTAGGGAGGTTAATGGACCGGCATCTTTGTCCAGCGCTGCACACCACAACATACAGGTGATTCGCATATGTGTATTAAGGTATCTTAGGGATAGTTCACCGGACAACAAAGATTTTGCTTCCTGAACACTTTTTGGTGTACCTTGTAGATTTTTGGCTGCTAATCACGAAAAGACCTGTAATTTAACCTATCCTGTACTATTTAATTGAAATCTTCAGTTTTCACAATTTGCAATGCCTGCAATGAACTGTTGTTGAACCATATCAAAATACAACTGGAATATCTACAGAGATGCAAAAGTAGTGACTCTTTGGCTTGGAATGCAGCTCAGATATACAAAGTACTGTTGTTACCTATGCGAATGGGACAGTCTTGCAAGAGAGTTGCATTACATGAAGAAAAACAAATTTGGTTCCAGGGCAGAAAAACATGGTTCATGAACCACTCAAGCCGGCCGTTGAGATCATGTTACTGGTCCAGATCGCTCTCAGAATAGGTAAGTATAGACATTTTTCCTTTCACAGGACAGATAGAACAGGGTTTAGAATTGGTGGGAGCAGGTTTAAACTTAGGAATAGGCTTCCACTTTAAACTCTTCCATTACCTACTGGTGTGAATGTTTAGGTCCTAAACTTTCAATTCCATAGGAAATTGGAATTGGGGTAAATTGTATGAAAACAAATTAAATTGTATGCCTTCAGTTGTATCAGAGATCCTCTGATACAGAGACCAGCAGCAGCCTCAGTGTAGAGAGGAGGGCAGCTGACAATGGATGCCCCATAGTAATTCTATAGGTGACGTCACCACCCAGACTCTGCAGCCATTGTTGGTGATCTCTCCTCTTCACTCAAGCTAGCCACTGAGGAGATAATATTACTGGTCCAGATCGCTCTCAGAATAGGTAAGTATAGACATTTTCCTTATACAGGGCAGATAGTTTGGAATATGGTTTGGAACAGGTGGGTTTAAGCTACATTAGGAATAGGCTGGACTTCCGCTTTAAGCTTTTCCAACACCTACTGGTGTGAATGTTCAGGTCCTAAACTTAAACTTTCAATTCCATAGGAAATTGGAATTGGGCTAAATTTTATGAAAACACATTAAATTATATGCCTTCAGTTGTATCAGAGATCATCTACACAAGATTAGCATCTCCTTTCTCCTATCCACCAAGTCCCTGGGCAACTGACAGTAGATGCTAGTCGGGGTCAGAGGATCTCTGATACAAATGAGGGCATATATTCCAGTGCAGGAGACACTTAATGGAGGCTACTTGGGTGAATTTATTTTTAATGTCAGATTTCACACTTGTTGAACCGACAAAAGATACTTTTTCCTCCTCTTTACATAAAACTGAGACTGAGAAAATCTGGTGAAAGCGATGAACAGTGAATGTTTTGGTTATTTGAGACAGACGTTTCCAAGAATAACTGATGCCAAGATCAAGGAAGGCATTTTTGTTGGTCCAATGATCAGATAGGTCATTAATGACAAGTGGTTTGATAATCTGTTATTGGGGCCAGAGAAAAAATGCCTGGAAAGCATTTAAGGATGTCGTTGAGAATTTTCTTGGCATTTAAAGAGCACAAAACTACATTCAGCTGGTTGACAACCCTCTTACAGCATGCAAGACCATGAAGTGCAACATGTTACTGAAGATTCATTTTCCGCAGTCAAATTTGGACTTTCCTGAAAATCTAGGTGCCGTCAGTATTGAACATTGTGAAAGGCTTCACCAGGATATTGCCACAATGAAAACACAGTATTTGCTCAACTGGAGTCCATCAATGCTGGCTGACTATTATTGGATACTGCAGTGAGATGCACTGGACACAAATAAAAATCAGCAGCAAAACACCTTTAACTTTGTTAAACTCATGCAGAGTGTTGGAGACATTATGCCATTAAATACATTATAGTCATTAAAAGTTATTTTCATATTTTTCAAACATCCTACATGTTAACGTCATTCACAAATTATACTTGTGTTCAGTTTGAAGGGGTCTATCATAATCACCAAATGTTTTCAGGAAGCAAAACTTTTGAAGAAAATTGTTGTCCAGTTAATTTTATATAGTTAGAAAATAAAAACTTTGAAAATAACTTACAAACCTGTGATTTGCCCATGCAGGATGTGGATGGATGCTGATGTTTGATATCTAGTTTGAAAGAACATTTGACCCATCTTTGTCCATTCCGTTCTGTGTTTTTTCCAGCAGCTACATGTTATGGCCAGAGCACATGTGGATACCATGATGTAGCAGATTTTCTGGGAGTTCTGAATCAGTCAACTCTTCTTATGAATTTCCGACCTGTCGCAGACTGGAGAGATCCCACCTTCGTATCCATACACATGACCTTCCGAGTAGTTCTGGATATGGTACAGTAAATTAGTTGCATTCATTTTCATTCATGTTATCAATATGGAATACTTTTTCAGTTACTGAAATCAGTTTTTGCCAGAATTCGTACACTCACAAAATGCATCTCCTGTTATAAATGACTCAAGGAGCCCAGTTCTTACAAAAAAATTCCTTAATATATCGTACAGTTGCTACCACCTCAATGACAAAACATGCCAAGAGTTTTGGTTCAATTTCCAGAAAAATGCACCTTCTATAATGGTGAACAATAAAACACCAAACACACACACAAAGAAAAAAAATGCTCTAACAGTTCAAAATGCGGAACAGACATTAATTTTCTTGGAAGCACAAAAAAAATCGTAAATACAAAGACTACACATTTACCTAACTAAGGGGCAGTATAGCCAAACAGGTTATGATGAGTTGGGTAACAGAGACCCCAAAATCCCCCCACTGAACCAGTGCAGAGCACAGTACACTCTTTATGAAACATGATTTGTTCTCCAATTTAGAATTAAAGTTAGACTCAAACCATTTCCTTTTACCCTTGTGGTAACTGTACATTTAGAACTACTGGTTTACAACAGATACATCCGAATGTTATATAGCCATTGATCCCATACTTCAAAATGCCATTCCAAGGCTTGTTGACCATCACCATTATGGAGCGGCCGGTCCGGTATTTCCACCGCCGCTGTGTCAGAATACCGGGTCGGCCGCTCAGCTCTGCAGCGGGACCTTATGGAGATGACTGCTGACCTTTGGGGAGGTGGGGAGCGGGTACCTGAATTTGACAGGTACCCGCTCTTACTTCTGCGGAGTTGTTCTTTGACCTTACCTGTTCCTCTATCCAGCAGCGCTCTGTCTTCCTGGCTTCTGTAGTGTGGGCGCTGGGCTTGACAACCGGGTGCCAAGTGCCCATGCGCAAGAAGCGGTGCTTTTTGTGAATGGTAAGGCGGTACCTGGGACACATGACAGATCCCAGAAGCCGCCGGACCAATCACAAAGCGCAAGTGCTTCTCGCTCATGCGCACTGGGCACCCGGCTGTCATGCCGAGCGCCCACACTACAGAAGCCGGGAAGACAGCGTGCAGCTGGATAAAGGAACAGGTAAGATCAAAGAACAACTCCGTGGAAGTAAGAGCGGTACCTGTCAAATTCAGGTACCCGCCCCCCCCTCCCCAAAGGTCAGCAGTCATCTCCTGTACTGTCCGCAGTCTCTGGTCATCCCTGTGCTGTCCGCAGTCTCTGGTCATCCCTGTGCTGTCCGCAGTCTCTGGTCATCCCTGTGCTGTCTGCAGTCTCTGGTCATCCCTGTGCTGTCCGCAGTCTCTGGTCATCCCTGTGCTGTCCGCAGTCTCTGGTGATCCCTGTGCTGTCTGCAGTCTCTGGTCATCCCTGTGCTGTCTGCAGTCTCTGGTCATCCCTGTGCTGTCCGCAGTCTCTGGTCATCCCTGTGCTGTCCGCAGTCTCTGGTCATCTCCTGTACTATGTCTGCAGTCCATTAGTTCAGAATTTTTTTTTTCCTGTTTTCTGCCTCTAAAACCTAGGTGCGTCTTATGGTCAGGTGCGTCTTATGGAGCGAAAAATACGGTGTATATATATATATATATATATATATATATATATACTGCATGTTGAAATGGATTTTTATTACAAAATATATGAACAATATTTTTAAAAATACATTTAAAATATACTGTATGTCTTTAAAAATACAAATTTACATTTTTGAAATGCATTTACAAATATATGTAAAAATATGTTAAAATTACTTTTTTATATCTTAAAAAAAATCTGAAGAATATATTTTAAAAATATATATTTTTTAAAATATATATTTTTAAAATATATCCTTCAGATTTTTTGTAGATTTGTATTTGTAAAGACATATACAGGGTTGGGGGATTAACAAGAAAGCAGAGTATAATAAGACAGATTATAGTTAGCTGGGCTTAAAGGAACCAAAACACCCCCCTTGAACAAGTGGAAGCACAGCAGAGCCTTCCTAAAACCACAGATTAGGTATCTGCACGTCTCACTATGGTCACACACCCCAAGCTTTAAGGCGTGAGGGGCAGAGCCATGCAAATCATTGTTTACTTTCTTTTATACTCCAGGGGCAACTGTACATCCAGAGCAGCTGATTTAGCACAGATACAGAATAATATTATAGAGCCATTTTTTCCAAATTGTGCCAATCTTTGGAGAACAAAGAAAAAGTATAACCAGAGAGGTCGTGGTGGGTTGGGCTGAAAGGAACCCAAAAGCCTTTCAGACCACCTCACCATATTGCTTTCCATCCAGACTACTATGAACCATATAAAAAGGCTCCTGCTCAAATTGTTTATATACATAAAGTGCAACGCTTAATAAAGTCACACATAATTAGTGAAAAAAACTGTGAAATATGTGTCATACAAAAAATAGTCCATCAAAAAATTTAGATAAAGAAAAAGTCCACAGAGGCTGTGCTGAAACAAAGGAAAACCAAGGACAGTTGTGTCACCAACCACTCATACGAAAGGCTTACCAGAAAGGCATGACCCCCATTAAGAGTGGTCAATCATGCTTTGTTGTAAACAACCCAGAAAGCTGGACAACCAGATCCTCTTCCAGATCACCAAGAGAACAAGCAAAGATCCTTCAAGCATTGGACCCTAATTAGGGTAACTACACCACTCCGGATAAGGTTCAGACTTGTGGTAAGAAACATGTATAAAAGAGTGCTCCGCATGGTGTAAAACCATTAAGTCAACATTTATTTGAAGTATGGTTGCACTCACATAAAAATGGACATCATTGAGCATTGATAGGCAAAAAATCTATTTTTTTCCTATCAATGCTCAATGATGTCCGTTTTTATGTGAGTGCAACCATACTTCAAATATATGTAAGGGTTTACAACCATTTATATATACAGTCCTGGCCAAAAGTTTTGGGAATGACACAAATATTAACTTTCACAAAGTCTGCTGCTTCAGTGTTTTTAGATCTTTTTGTCAGATGTTACTATGGTATACTGAAGTATAATGACAAGCATTTCAGAAGGATTTTATTGACAATTACGTGAAGTTTATGCAAAGAGTCAATATTTGCAGTGTTGACCCTTCTTTTTCAAAACCTCTGCAATTCCCCGTGGCATGATGTCAGTGAACTTTTGGGCCACATCCTGACTGATGGCAGCCCATTCTTGCATAATCAGTGCTTGGAGTTTGTCAGAATTTGTGGGGTTTTTCGTTCACCTGCCTTCTGAGGATTGACCACAAGTTCTCAATTGGATTAAGGTCTGGGGATGTTTTGTTTCCCAAGCCACTCAGTTATCGCCTTTGCCTTATGGCAAGGTGCTCCATCATGCTGGGAAAGGCATTGTTCATTACCAAACTGTTCTTGGATGGTTGGGAGAAGTTGCTCTCGGAGGATGTTTTTGTACCATTCTTTATTCATGGCTGGGTTCTTAGGCAAAATTGCAAGTGATCTCACCCCCATGGTTGAGAAGCAACCCCACACATGAATGGTCTCAGGATGCTTTACTGTTGGCATGACACAGGACTGACAGTAGTGTTCACCTTTTCTTCTCCAAACAATTTTTTTTTCCAGTTTCCCCAAACAATCAGAAAGGGGATTCACCAGAGAAAATGACTTTCGCCCAGTCCTCAGCAGTCCAATCCCTGTACTTTTTGCAGAATATCAGTCAGTTCCTGATGTTTTTCCTGGAGAGAAGTGGCTTCTTTGCTGCCCTTCTTGACACCAGGCCATCCTTCAAAAGTGGTGCCCGGATCCCGCAGCTGAATCAACTTTAGGAGACGGTCCTGGCGCTTGCTGGACTATCTTGGGCACCCTGAAGCCTTCTTCATAACAAGTGAACCTCTCTCCTTGAAGTTCTCGATGATCGAATAAATGTTTGATTTAGGTGTAATCTCAGTAGCAGCAATATCCTTGCCTGTGAATCCCTTTTTGTGCAAAGTAATGATGACTGCACGTTTCCATTCTGGTAAATTAATATTTGTGTTAGTCTCAACATTTTTGGCCAGGGTTCTACAGCCTCAAGGAAAGAAGAGAAAAGGGGACATGGTTGAAGCCTTTAAACCTTTAACCTCTTCCCATCTTTAAAGTGGAGTTCCACCCAAAACTGGAAACTCTGCCTATCTGCCTCCTCCCCCCTCCACTGCCACATTTTGGAGGGGAACGGATACCTGTTTTTGACAGGTACCCACTCCCACTTCCAGCATGCGCAGTAGGAAACCAGCTGTGAAGCCGCAAGGTTTCCCTTAGTCAAGAAGGTGGTGCTAGCACCAGATAGCTGATGGATCAGGGCACCGCTGGATCCCTGGATAGGTAAATGCCCTAAAATTAATAAGTATTTGTAGCTGCTGACTTTAAATTTTTTTTGGCAGGGGGGCTGGGGGCCAGAACTCCTCTTTAAGATGTACCTGTGGGACTGTGATATCTGGGTCTCCCCTGCTACCTTTACTGGGCTCTCACTCCCCATCAGGGAGCCCAGTACCGATGCAACCTGTTGAACTGCATGCCCTAGACAGATTAAGAGGATCCTCCGCTGTTCTTCTTCCTCTGTGATGTCAGAAACCGGAAGCGATGAGGTTTTGTCAACAACGGTTTTGGTTTGTTTGCTTACAAGCCATTATTGGCTTGTAAAGCATCTGGTCAAACTGATTTTAGTGTGATCAGACACTTTGGAGGGCAGAAAAGAGTCTATTAGACCCCAGATCATTCCATAAAGAAGAACTGTCATGCTCTGATAAGGGATGTTGGTCATCCATTGTGACAGCAATAAAGTTTAATTTAAAAAAAAGTACAGTGTGCAATAAAAATAATATACAAATAAAAATAAATTTAAACAAAGTAAATAATACAATAAAAAAATGTTAATACAAATGCGCATATAGGTCCTGCATGAATATGTAAGCAGTAATCGCACCACCCATGTGAGGTATTGCCACGAACGTCAGAGTGAGAGTGATAATTCCAGCACCAGACCTCCTGTGTAACTGGTTAAAATGTCACCTGTGGATATTTTAAGATACCATAATTGGTTTCCATTCCACTGGGTGCAAGGTTCACACCTAAGCGTTTTCTGCAGCATTTTGCAGAAATGCAGTACAGTCCATTTAACATGATCTCCTATGGGACATGTTCACATCTGTGTGTTTTCACCTGGTGCATTTTATGGAAAGGGTCAACAACTTTTTTGTTTTTGGTTCTACAGTATAGACTTCAATGGAAACGCTGCAGAATGTATGTACATGTAAAAGCATGTATTGCATTTTTGCTGCATTTTGTGTTTTAAATCTGCATAGCAACATGAAAAAGTTAAAAAAAAAAAAAAAAAAAATACGCAAAATATATAAAAAAAAACGCAAGTTAAAAAATCCAAAATGCAATGTAGAAACTACTGAAACACAACCTGCATAGGTGTGAACCTAGCCTTAGGAAGTATTAAGTTTAAGCAGTAGCAGAGGTAATCAATCAACAGTAAATGAATTTCGACAAGCTTGGTATAAATATTTTATGTATGAAGAAACAATGATGACTACTAAGTGGGGATCCAGCTTGTCTTTCTGCACAGAGGTCATTGATTAGATCAGTAAAAATATATTTTTTTTAATTAGAAGGGTTAGAGATGTTCTGGGACAAGTCTAGAGAAACCAGAATTGTCATTTCTCTCTGAGTAGAGGGCGTAGCTAATCACTTAACAAATATACATTGTGTAAGCAAAGAAGACTATCAGCTTCCTCATTTTCCAGGTATTTGACTCTAGGTCAAAGTAAAGTGCTATAGCAGGTTGTGTATCATCACAAAAATCCCCAAAACATGATCATGCCAGCCCACAAATACCTGATGAAACACCTTCAACATTTTAGATTAAAAACAGCCGTTTTTGTTGAATACTGCACATTGGCAAATGCATTTTAATTATATACTGAGTGTATATATATATATATATATATATATATATATATATATATATATATATATAATTGTGTTCAAAATAATAGCAGTGTGTTGAAAAAAGTGAATAAAGCTCAAAATCCTTCTAATAGCTTTTATTTCCATACACACAAATGCATTGGGAACACTACACATTCTATTCCAAATCAAA